CTCCCCCTCCCCCCCCCATAGTTCTCCTTTAATACAGGACAAGACCCTACTAGCTTTGTTTACAGCAGCCTGGCACTGCAAGCTACCCTTCAGTTTGTGGTCCACAATGACCCCCGTAGATCTGTATCCCAACCCTTCGTGTTCCTGCAGTTCGGTTCTGACCCGCCGGGACGGAGTCGCCTTTTCTCATTTGTCACTTGAAGACGTCTCTGCGCCCCCCATTCCATGGCCCGGGACCTGGCGGTCAGTGGGCGGGACGTACCATCTCCTGCTGCTTGCACTGTAGACATCTATAGATGAAGTCTGATAGGTGACAGTAGCTGCCCGGACCGCAGTCCTCGTCCACAATGCATTCCTGAAAACAACAATCGGAAGAGATCAGAGGGAGCGGGAAGAGGAAATGGAAGTGACATTTACAAAAGAAAATCCTCCCAATGTAACTGATGTCATCACTGGGTCTCTGTGCAACGCAGGCAGATCGTGGCTGGGGGGAGGGGCTGGCAGGCAGGGTGCTGTACATAGCTTCCTGGTAACATCACAGCACCGTGCCTCAGTACTCCTCTCAAGAGCCCCCCAGCTCAAGTAGTGGGCTGGCTCTTGGGAGGAGTTATGCAAATATCAAAATGTCCTGATGGGTTAATGTTAATGTGGGGAGTGTCCCTAGACAAGCTACAATGGCATGCAGACCACGCATGAGCCTCTGAACTCAAATCCAATGAATGAAAGGGGCGGGGCCAGGGACTGGGGAGGAAAGGGCTTAGATGATGCTGGACGTCCGGCAGCTAGGAAATGAGGCGGAGCTCTATCTGACTTGCTGCAGCTTCTAATGCACATTGTGAGAAGCTCGCAGTGTGCAGAGACATCAGAGGAGAGGAGCCGGTACAACTGTGCAAGACTGAAGGGAAGGACGGAGGTCAGATAGAAGACTGAAGGGAAGGCCGGAGGTCAGATAGAAGACTGAAGGGAAGGACGGAGGTCAGATAGAAGACTGAAGGGAAGGCCGGAGGTCAGATAGAAGACTGAAGGGAAGGACGGAGGTCAGATAGAAGACTGAAGGGAAGGACGGAGGTCGGATGGAAGACTTAAGGGAAGGACGGAGGTCAGATGGAAGACTGAAGGGAAGGACGGAGGTCAGATGGAAGACTGAAGGGAAGGACGGAGGTCAGATGGAAGACTGAAGGGAAGGACGGAGGTCAGATGGAAGACTGAAGGGAAGGACGGAGGTCAGATGGAAGACTGAAGGGAAGGACGGAGGTCGGCTTCAATCCCTGTGATCTCATCAGCAGCCTTGGGATCGGCCTCCTCGTCCCTGTTGCTGGGTCTCTGTATACGGAGGACGTCTTCCGGGCTGGCTCGCCAACGCGCGGTGAGTGGAGACCGGCGGCTGTGCCGCTTCTCTTGAATGCTCCGAGTGGCTTCATTATGCAGGGGGAGCGAAAGGATAAAAAGAAAACCCTCGGCTCTCAGTCTCGGCGAGCGGCCTCTAATTGCGGAGGACGCCATGTACCTCCCGTGTAATTATAAGAACTCCTGTTATCTATCTTTCCGGGTGCCGTCTCCATGGAAACTGAACTTTACCAATGTGGAGAAAACATCGCCGTGTGTTTCCCGGGCGCGGAGTTCTGTTTGCCGGTTGGTGAAAAGTTTCTCCCCGAAAGCCGGAGATCCGATGTTCTCTCCGGTCTCATGTTGTAGAGGAGACGAGGATTCCCATCCACAGAAGACTCGTTACATTATAATAAAGGAAACATTATTGTAACAATTTCCTTCAATCCCTTAAAGGGGAAATCCAGAAGCCCGGCCACGTGAATGTGCGAGCCGAGTATTTACAGGTCCATCTAGTGAAGGGTGTTCTTCTCTAACGAATCAAGTGACCTGAGGCTGCAGTCCCTAAGGTGAATTGTGTGAACTTAAAGTGACACTAAACTACATTCAAGTCCCTGAACTCTGAACAACAATCTATCTTATTTGTGTATCACTCGGCTGTAGATCCTCCAATCATCTCTGACACTGTCCTTCCTTCTGGAGGGGGGCTATGTCTGTTCCTCATGGACCCTGGGGAGAGGGGGAGGAGGAGCAGAGGGGAAGGAGAAAAATGAGAGAGGGGAGGAGAGGGAGGTAAAAGAGAGGAAGAAGGGGGAGGGGGGCAACAGGGAGGAGAAATGGTGGAAGAGGGGAGGACAGAGAGAGAAGAAAGAGAAGAGATAAAGCAGAGAGGTGAGGAGAAGAAAACGGTGGGGAGAGTCTGGTGAGGAGCGAAGAGTGGAAAGGAGGGAGTTGGAGGAAGAAAGTAGAGAGAGGAAAGGGTAGTGCAGAAAAAAAAAGAGAGTGGAGAGGTGAGATGGGAGGAGAGGAGATAGGAAAGAGAAAAGAGAGAGGAACAGAATGGGAAAGTGGCATGGAGAGAAAAATGAGAGTAGAGAAGATGAGAGAGAAGAGAGAGAAGCTCGGGAGATTAACGGAATGAGAGGAAGGAGGGGGAAGGAGAGGAGAGCACAGAGGGAAGAGAAGAGACAGAGGAGAGGAGAGAAGAAGAGAGCAGAGAAAAGAGGAGAGCACAGAGGGAAGAGAAGAGACAGAGGAGAGTAGAGGGATAATACTATGATTGTAATGAGTCCCATAGCTAATTCATTTGCCTGGTAGAAGGAGCAGTAAAGCACAACTCTAGTGCTGCAAAGCAGAAAGGAGAACCTGAGCGTGTGATGAGCACATATGGCGGCTCTGAAGAAGAAGGATGTTTTATTACTCATTGATAAGAGGAATTTTATGGTGTTGATCACATGACACGCCTACAACCAGCTGTATAAAGTCTTTGGACCTCTTTACAATCTGTTCTCTGCCAGTCTCTGCCATGGTACAGTACGTGTGGCTCCCCCTGGTGGCCATCGTCCGCCATCACACCACAAGCCCAGGCAGACAAATCCGCAGGCTGTTCTCTTGTCACCGGTGATGAGTAAACACAAGCTGGCACTTGCTGCGCGGAGATTACTGTCACCAGTTCCTGATCTCTGGAAATGTCTGTTATCCCGATCCCCTGCGCCGCGACATTCCCACATCACCGGCGGTTGGCTCGCCGCCTCCATTGTCAGACTTTCCCAACTTCATTAAAAGGAACGGCGGCATTTTATTCTATTACTGTCCATGTGAAAGATATCTGCCAGATGTGAACAATCTTATCAATGAGCAGTAATAGATTGTAAACCCAGTTTCTGCGTACAGCTACGTCCTCCAGCCAGGAAATGAGGCCGGCCTCTGTCTGATCTGCTGCAGCTTCTAATGGACATTGTGAGAAGCTCCCAGTGTGCAGTGATATCAGAGGAAGAGGAGCCGGTACAACTGTGCAAGACTGAAGGGAAGGACGGAGGTCAGATAGAAGACTGGAGGGGAGGACGGAGGTCAGATAGAAGACTGGAGGGGAGGACGGAGGTCAGATAGAAGACTGGAGGGGAGGACGGAGGTCAGATAGAAGACTGGAGGGGAGGACGGAGGTCAGATAGAAGACTGGAGGGGAGGACGGAGGTCAGATAGAAGACTGGAGGGGAGGACGGAGGTCAGATAGAAGACTGGAGGGGAGGACGGAGGTCAGATAGAAGACTGGAGGGGAGGACGGAGGGCAGATAGAAGACTGAAGGGAAGGACGGAGGTCAGATAGAAGGGATACTGAGGATGAAGAATCCTGAGGCGTTATATATTACAATGTATCAAACACAGAACAGAAATGTGATCCTGTCGGCATGATAGAGATACAATATTATCCGAGTGATTTTTTTGTAGAAAGGTTCGCAGTCACTCCACTCGGAGGTTGCCGGGCATGCTGAGTGTTGTAGTCCCTGAGTAGGACGATGGTAGCCGGTTGCTCAGCAATGCCCCATGACAGGTTATCTCATCCCGCTGGGGGTTTGCGCACTCAGTAAGCAGCACCCTGAGGAGCCGCCAGGCTGTTCTATAAATAGATCTCTCGGTAAACACGCCGCCATTCCGGAGATTAAAGTCTGCGAGCTTCATCTTCTATCCATCTGGAGGTGGGCGTGTCACCGCGCTCATCGTTCCCCGCAATCAGAAAACCGAGAACTGATTTCAGGGTACGCGCCGACATTCCATCAACTCTTCAACGCGTGGATGTCATTTCAAAGGGCGATTGTTCTCTTAGGAAAGACTCATCTGCGCCTTTCTTTTATGCTTTGTTCCATCTCTTGCAGCCTCTTTGCAGCCACTTCCTGTCTATATGCACCCCAGTGATGGCTGCATGGCATTTCTCAGGGCGGGTTTCCTGATGGTGACAACAGTGGACCATTTCTGGGCAATGTGCGTTGAAACTGCCACTTGTAGCCCCCATTGGAAGCCCATATGATAGGGTGACAATGCAGAGCGTAACTGGGAGGCAGAGCGTTGTCACCCTATAAACGGAAGTCCCTAATAGTCTCCATTGGAAGCCCATGCGACAATGCAGGAGCACATTTAGGAGACAGGGGCAGAGCGTTGTCACCCTATAAACGGAAGTCCCTAATAGTCTCCATTGGAAGCCCATGCGACAATGCAGGAGCACATTTAGGAGACAGGGGCAGAGCGTTGTCACCCTATAAACGGAAGTCCCTAATAGTCTCCATTGGAAGCCCATGCGACAATGCAGGAGCACATTTAGGAGACAGGGGCAGAGCGTTGTCACCCTATAAACGGAAGTCCCTAATAGTCTCCATTGGAAGACCATGCGACAATGCATGAGCACAACCAGGAGACAGGGGCATTGTGGTGACATTCAGAAGGAATTGCACTGCAATAAACGGACACATTTAACATGCATTGGTGCGCTTTACCGCAATGAGAAGGTGCGAATGGGCCCTAAATATTTACTGTCCTAAAACGAGCGGTGGCTGGTCACATGACTGGATGATGATGACTGCACAGTGAGGAAGCCATTTCTGTCTATTATTATTATTATACAGGATTTATATAGCGCCAACAGTGTGCACAGCGCTGTACAATATAAGGAAGTCATTACAGTTACAATACAATTACAAGACAAGATGGTAAGGAGGGCCCTGCCCCCGAGAGCTTACAATCTAAAAAGAGGAGGGGCTAGTGATACATGAGGAGGGAGCTGTGTGGGGGATGGATTGTCTTAGAACATGATGGTTCAGTGGTTAGTTTGAGGTGGGATCGGCTTCCCTGAAGAGATGAGTCTTAAGGGATCGCGTAAAGGCAGTCAAGGTGGGAGATAGACGGACAGGTTGGGGTATAGAGTTCCAGAGGATGGGAGAGACTCTAGAGAAGTCCTGGAGGCGAGCATGGGAGGAGTTGAAAAGGGAGCTGGAAAGCAGGAGGTCTAGGGATGAGCGGAGGGGACGGTTTCAGTGG